TCGCTCCATCAGCCATCAATTTGGTCTTGGGCTGAACAGAGTATGAAGAAAATACACGTGTGCTCCCTGTAGATCTCGACTTATCGTTCGTTGAGGAAGGTGACCTCCCTCTCCCCATGCAAGCTGCGTGATGATTTTTGATCACGCTGGCGATACGTGAAATTTCGTGATTTTGGGTGAATCACGATTACTGCGTGAACATCACTCTGTGCAGCGTGAAGTTCACCTGGTCAATGCGTGAACGTCTTGCTGCAGAATCACGCTGATCACGAAATTGATCACTCTTTTCACGCTCATCACCCAAAACATCTACTTTGTCGCTCAAATCGAGTCAACTGTACCAAGGCTAGCTAATTGCAGATCAGGCCGTGTGAACAAAACTGACAGTTGTGTTGCATACGCAGTGCTCCTCTCGACTTTGATAAACACTATGCGCAAGATTTCTGCGTTTCAGCCGTCCCCAATCCGATCTCAGAGATCGTCGCCATCTGACCACTGCGAAGCACGGGAGAGTTCAACGTTAGCACATAGACCTGATGGCCGAGTCAGTTTATCTGCTGAACGAGTACCAAGAACGGCGTCACACCAAAATATTTTCAGGGATGTTAACACGTCTGATGGTGAAACAATATGTCGTAAGTTGCAATTTGACACTCTATCGGATGTACAACGCGACAGCTCAAGTGATGACAGCAATGCCCGGGATCCAGACTGGTCCTTCACACCGATAATGGAACAAAATGGAAATACGGGTGTCGGGGAGGCCTTTGGCAGTTCCTCAGAAGAATCGGCTTCCTCAGTAGCTGCTTCAGATACAGTTACAAACGCAGAAGTAGTGCACTTGTTTCAAGACCTAGGAACTCCTAGCCACTCCTCGCTTCCGACGTGCACAGTTCCAAACGAACTTGATGAACGAACAGTTGGTACTGAGGATCACTGGTCATCCATTTTTTGTGAGAATGCCGTGCAGCTCTATGGTTCCTCCGAGATGCATTTGATGCAGTCTGAGGCTGTTGAGGATATTCAAAACGAAAGCTCGCTGGAAAGGACTGCAGCGCAAAGAAATGGAGGCCTGTCTTCGTGGAACTATAGCTCAGCATTTGAAAATGTTGAATTAGGTGTGGATTATATGAACAAATCTTTTGCTGAGCGGTTTGTATCTGAAAGCAATATGGTTCTGGACAATGTTCTTAACGAAGTGCTTGTGATATGCGGTATTAGAGGGACAACGTCGTTGACTTCAATAACACGACTTCAACTTTTTGAAATGTTTTTACCGGAGAGCGTACTTCAAAAACTAATTGCACACGTGAACAGAGTGCTAAGAACGACTAAGAAAAATCAGCAACTCTAGCTGAGTTAAAGTGTGCCATTATAACTCATGTATTGGCCACTTCGTATGGTGGCAGTGTTGGGTCATCACTGCTCCTGCGAACAGGGAGTTCTTCTATCAGACGAGAATAACTGGTGACCGGTATATGCAAATATGGTCTGCACTAAGTTGCACATCCAGAAAACGGCAGCGCGTGCAGACATACGGTGAGGGTTGGTCAAATAAGCCTCTTCTTGGAAACGGTTTAATAACTGAACTAGAACAACAATTTGCAGCAGTCAATAGGCGTCTTGTCTATATTCCCGGAAAGACAATATTTAGTCTGGACGATGATCACCAGCGACTCCGTTCGAGAGCAGTAACAGAGCTAACAAATCTTTCGCGAATCAACAATCCCCAGAAAGCTCTTGGTCCAGTCAACAATGCCGTGTGTTCCGCTCTAACGTCAACATTTATTGCAGGTCATTACTCCAGACCCGGTGAAAAAATCATCCACGTTTGGCAGCGCCTCGTCCAATTTATTCAAGGTGCTGCTACGCCTGGATCTAAATCCCCTATGTGTGACGCCATATTTGCTTCAGATCGCGGCTATAACTCGCGAGAGACAATCTCTTTTATCAACGAACGGCTTGGTGCCACTGGCATTGGCACACACAAAAGATCTCTTGACTATCCATTCGTCTTCGGGGACGGACCGGTAAGAAAGAGGCACAAAGGAATGGTAATAAGCGAACGTGGATGCCGGGCTGTATACTCGGCCACTAGGAAGCCCTCATCAAGTCAGGGAAAGCCCGTGCGAGCAGTTGTATACCGTGAGAGCTGCAGTGGAAGAATTGCTGCAGTTTACCATAACAACTCCCGCTTGTTTGGTGCTCGTTTGTTCACCCTCATTCCTAAAGCTGGGTACCAAAACTTTAACACTCCCCAAAATATTCGCAACCTTCACGAGGTATACAGCGCGGCAGGTACTGAGAACATCGCCGGAAGGATCCTGATTCCAACGCGCTCGTCTTCTGGAGACAGGTTTTTTCCTTTTCTGAAAGTGTCCCTGACACTTCAGGAAGTTAATCACTTCACATTACTACAGGCAGAAGACCCAGGCTGGTTTCTTGCGAGAGCTTTTCAGTTCACGTCAAGAACAACGCACACCTTCATATCGTGTATTGCGTCTGACTTCGAGAAAAATGTCGCCGCTCTTTCCTCTGTTATTAGTGGAATGGTCGTGATGGTTGGTGCAACTGCATTACCGCAAGACAATTCACAAACTGAATTACTGATAAAAGAGAAGTAGGATGCCGTTATGGATGGATTGAGAATGCAAAAACGAGCACAACCAAGCGCCACTGCCCAGCAAGCTTCGGTGGATCGAGTCATGACCTGCACTTCTGCGTCCTTTTCAGCGCTTCGAAAGGACGAACTGCTTATTGTACTGGAAAATGTAAGACACCGCCAACCTGTCTCAAATAGAAAGCAACAGCTAATTGATAAGATTATTCAGCTGCAGAGGAATGTGGCAGATGGAACAGAAACTTTAAATATCCAAGAGGCAAGCAATGAAACAGAGTGCGAACAGGAAAAGAAAAGGCTTTGTAACTCTCTCCTTGAAACTTCGTTAAACACATGGTTCATGAAGCCACTTATGAGCACTGCGGGCATGAAGGAGGGAGCATTTAATGAACACCAGATTCTCAAGTCCCTAAAGATGTTCTTTGACAAAAACAAAGTACAGGATGTGACACGAGTCTGTATTGCGGGCGAGCCAAACATTCTAAGTGCACTTGCGTACGATTACAAAATTGAATACTTGCAAACTGTTGGTCTAATTGGCTTCAAGGTAGTGAAGTTAGTTGCTGGGAGCCCTGACGGTGTTGTGGCCATTTCAGATAATAAGGGGGACGTTTGTGTCGCAGCAGTGGAGATACAGACGATGATTGCCGTTAATACGATCGAGAGAGCAATGAAATAGAACTTAGGAGCGAGTACAGTTCTTTGACAGTGCTCCCAAACATTGGTAGTAACCAGACATCTGTGAAATTTTTTCATGACTTGGTGCCGACTTCAAGCTACCGGTTCCAGTGCCTTCATCATAGTGCAGTGCTTGGTAAGGGAACTGCACTTTTTATTGTGGCAAAGGGAAGCAATATGGGCCTGGGTTCTATTATTTATGAGACACTGTTGCAGTTTAACAACTCGTTTATTGCCAACTATTTGTACTGCATTTCAACCGTTCGTATATATTGTTTTGAATGGATTGGTAATGATGCAGAAAGTATACCCCTGCACCTAGATGAACTTTTGGTCAAGAGCCATGCAACAGATCTGTTCTCATACGCCTCATTCTATAACCTGAGCAAAAAGCATACAAGACGCTTGCAGAAAAACATGGACCCCTTCTCCCAGCTAGTATGATCAGACATTTTTCGTTGGTATTTTGGAACCTATCGAAAGGAGGTGTAGATGAATTTTCGAGAGCATTGAAACACCTATGCTATACTAACTCGTCTGAAAACCCCATTGTAAGTGTCATTGGAAGGCTTGTCTGTGCACAAATCAATAATGTGGCTATAGTGCATCGTCTTGTTGTCGCAAAGCAGAAAGGCTTACTCCCTAATAAGGGGGATCAGAACAGTCGAAGCGGTAACAACTACACTGCATTAAGACATGACGTGTCCAGATGAGCGTCGTTCTCAGATTTTGCTAGACATCTAGCTCATGAATGGGTTGAAAACTCACAGTCTGTTACGGGGCCTAACAAACAGCCATATCGGGATGTCAGTGAATGTCATGTGCCAGTTATAAGGCCGTTTTACGTTAAAAATGCGGCATCTAAGTATAGTAGGCCAGCTGACAAAGAAAAGAGACTTTGCAGTCCCGAACTGCACACAAAGGCAAAAGGAAAAGCTGCGTACTGCTCCTTGTGCTCTTTTAACTATACGTTTGTTTTACAAGGTGTGACATTTAAGAAGAAGGGTGGTTCAAAGGAGATCCAATGGTGTCTGTTATGTAGGCAACCGATATGTTCAAAATACTGGGACAAGTGGCACACGGACGAAGAGCTGCATCGGGCAACTTTTTCTCCTCACCAAAAAGAAGGTTTTAGAGATAAGGCTTTAGCCTCACTGTCAGTTGAGTAAACACCTAGTCCGTATGAAATGATAGTGCTCTGGCAGAACTAATAATGTTGTTGCGATCCAAAAAAGACATGAGGACGCGTTTATATGCACAAGTTGGAATTACTACCCTAGCTAGTCCTCAACACCATGTCGTCATGCAAAGTGACAAAGTAGATGTTTTGGGTGATGAGCGTGAAAAGAGTGATCAATTTCGTGATCTGCGTGATTCTGCAGCAAGACGTTCACGCATTGACCGGGTGAACTTCACGCTGCACAGAGTGATGTTCACGCAGTAATCGTGATTCACCCAAAATCACGAAATTTCACGCTCCGCCAGCGTGATCAAAAATCGTCACGCAGCTTGCATGGGGCTTTTTGCCGTAGCTGTGGGAGGAAGTCGGTCTGTTGACATCCCGGCTGTCTGCCTGCTCGAACTCGCTCTATCTCGTTTGGCCAACTTCCACCAGTTGACTGCTCTTTGATCAACAACGGTCTTAGTCGATTTCCACGCAACCGAAGCTTCACCGTCCTCCCACCCTATTGAAATTCTCCCCATGGCTTTTGTGTCGCCGCTCCTCGGCGCACCTTTGCGGTCCTCGACGTTCGCATCATCCGCATCGGCGACATCCCCTCGCCGTCGAAATGCCACTCGTCGAAGTCCCCGCGCTGCGCTCTCTTCTCAATCTTTTCGAGAATATATGTCTGCCGACCAGACTTCGTCACCCTTTGCGCGCGGACCACGGCCCCAAAAGAAACCACCCGCGCCAGTGCCTATGGTGACTTTCGGCGATAACCAGATGGACGTGTATTCGCGTTTGGCGAAGGATCGTATTCTTCTTCTCGGGCGCCAGGTTGATGATGAGGTCGCGAATGCACTCGTTGCGCAAATGCTCTTTCTTTCTGCTGACGACCCCACGAAGGATATTACCCTTTACATCAACTCTCCTGGGGGTTCTGTGTCTGCGGGGCTGGCCATTTTTGATACCATGCAGTACATTCCATGTGATGTAGCGACCATTTGCTTCGGAACTGCAGCATCAATGGGAGCATTCTTGCTTGGCAGCGGGACAAAGGGAAAGAGGAAGAGCCTTCCTAACTCTCGTATCATGATCCATCAGCCCCTGGGAGGAGCCCAGGGTCAAGCGGCCGACATTGAGATCCAAGCAAAGGAGATTCTGTTTATTCGATCGTTACTGAATGGGTATATGGCGTATGCTACTGGTCAGGATCTCAACAAAATTGAGGTCGATACCGATCGTGACTTTTTCATGACTCCCGAGGAAGCTCTGGAGTATGGAATCATTGATGAGGTTATTCAGACCAAGAGGAGCCTACCAAAGCCCGCCAGGCCGATGCTTGCGTAAGCTCTATGTTTTGACATCGAGTCCAACTATGTCCTACTTTCACGAAGGCACATCTAATGTCGGTGTTGGCGGTAAACGATCCTTCTCCGCACAGAATGACGGTCTAGGTTTCACAAAGCGTTTGTCGCATTACAATACCGAGATTTTCTGGAGTTTATGCGCTTCATCATCATTATTCTTTGCTCTCCGTAAACATAAATGTAGGGTCTGTGATTTCCCGTTCGATGTTCGCTATGGTCCGTTCCAAAATTCTTTTCTCTGCCCGCCGTTGTCTAATAGCCCACCTTTGCTTCTGAGCAAACATCTTGTACATGCTGCGGTCTGCTATGAGTTTATCGTCTTCCTCACGGGATTGCGGATATGCTGCAAGTGCATCTTGACATGCACTGATCAGCGTCTTTGCTACCAGTGTCTCGTTGTCCTCGTTCATGAAATCTCCGAAATCTCCGTTGTCCAACTCATCTTCTCCGGCGACGCAGAATCTCAGGAATTCAATGAGTTCCATTGGATATCTATCACTGTACAGTGGAAACGTAGCTGTTGTCCCGACTCCGGATTCATCAAGGTATTTCTTCTTTCTTTCAAACAGTTCGTCTTCATCACTAAGCGCGACCACAAGCTCAACGGAATCGTAGGGATTGCGATCCGTAATGAAACCATAGAGGAGCAGAAGATCGCCATTTGATTTGGGTCCATATGTGACAAATACTTGATCCATCTGAGCATAAGGCCGGTCTGTGTACAGCGTCACAAATCTCTTGCCGGTGAGTTGCTTCTCCTGTACATCGATGTACGTTGAACAGAATGGATTGTGATTGAGCAGGTCTGCGTATGGGACAAGAGCGATTCGCTGCTCGGCCGTCAACATAATCGCACGGGAAAAGAGGATTGCAAATGCCCACTCCCACTGATCCCACGTAAAAACATCATCTGGGAACTTTCTTCGATTTGGTGCATAGATGGTTTCTTCGGCCGTCGCAAATTCAGAAACTAGCTTCCCTCGCAAACTTCTTGCAGCTGCTTGGCATGGGCTTCCTTGTAATAATAACATGTCATCTTCACTCCAGCGAAACAAGGGAATGATGTCTTCATCCTTCGGAAGCACGTCCAAATATGGCTTCCAAAAGCTTGCGTCGCCTCGTGACCGTTCTTGTATGAGAAGCGTCGCGATTGCAATATACTCATTAACATCTTCTGGAAGTTCTGGAATTTCTTCGAGCGCTCGCTGCTTCGTAAGGACAACCTCAAATGGTACCTCAAATAATGGTTCACCCTGCACTATTCCCTTCACCGCCACAAGACCGCGGCCAGAGCTTTCTCCCTCATCGGTCGTTTCGTTTGCAACGCCCATGGGGTGACGAGGGCGACCCCACGTTGCTTCCTTCGATAGATACATACCATTTTCTTCGAGCCATGATACCAGAGTTTCAGACTCAATTGCTAATGGAGACTTGCGATTCTCTAAACGAGGACCGGGGAGCTGCATGCTTGGCACGCGTGGGCGACGACGGCATGTTGGACCACCCGGTTTTTGACGGGGGAGCCCTATGCTTTTTATGAACGCCATTCTTCTTTGTTGCACAACTTCTGCTGCAATCAGAGACCAGTTGCCTGACAAGTCGATGAAAATTGCTTTGAAAGCCTTGCCCTTGAAAAGACCTAGCAGAAAATAGTATCTGCCCGTTAGAGAGTCTTAGCCAGTAGTCAAACACGCTCCCCCGTGTCTTGACGATCTGGGATACTCGTCCTGGGCGAAACACGCTACACTGCTGAATCAAGAACAGTGTCGGGGCCGGTCTGAGCAAATCGAAGGAGGGCTGTGTGTGGCCGCTGACGGAAAACAACAACGATGTCTTTCGCAATTCCAATCTCGCTATTGCTACAGTACCAAGGGTACCATCGCTTTGGCTCATACTGTACGTACGTACTGTACGAGGTCACTCGGCTTGATTTGCGGCCAGCCCTTTTGTAGGATGAGACTGCGCGAAAATTAAATTCTGAACGTCATTTTGGGGCACAATATCTAGACCGTATTTGCCCCAGTCAGAAACATCTTGCATATCACCAAGACAGCAGCTTCGAAAGCACTAAAAGACGAAGACTTCAATGACGTCTAGCTAGCTAGACCAGGATTGAGTTATTAAACTATGCACAGTACTTGATTTCAGAGATATCAAAGAAACAAAGTTTCAAGCGTGATCCGAGCGCTTCTTCGTCATTCTTCTAAAAACATCTGGGAAAGGTGGGCAGCTTTCACAGCCTATTTGGTGCTCTGCCGCAGAAAACCACTTAGTTACTTTACTGAGAGTACTATTCCTATTCATGTAAAACAAAAGGAAGGTGAATAGTGACCGCCATATCATGATATGGGGTCAATTGATCACATCTGAGGGTTTTTTTGTCTTTGGCCTGGAGCGAGCCTACTAAACAAAGGACCCAGGGCATGGAGATCAAGTCTCGGATGAGGTTTGATTGGTTTCATGCGATGGTAAATCTTACTGTACAACACATTTATCGTATGCTACCTCATCACCGTTTGCAAATAATAAAGGAAAATGTCCATCTTCGGTGACATACCCCAATAATAAATCATTCGCGCCACGTGGACACGGAGAATTCCTGCATTTTTGGGAACCATGGGCGTTGCGGGCCTCAGGCCATCCCAGTCTGCGATGTTGATTCACAAATGCGACGGAAGATCTCATTGCTTTTATCTCCTAACAACTCTGCGCGGAGTCCTGCCTTTTCTCCGTGCACTTCTTTGCATTTCCTTCTTATCGTACATTGCAGCAATACCATCACGTTTCCAATGCTCCGTCGCCTGACATTTGTACATCCATCTCCCACATTCCAACAGGCGCGAACAGTTATGCAGTCCGGCCGAAGTCCGGCTCATGGCCCGCAGGACGGTCGAGGTCGAGGTCAATTTAGCCGAGGCCGAGGGAGAAATTTCAAGCGCGCACGGCGTGGTCGCGGTGGTAGTCGTGGTGGTAGTCGCGGTGGCAGGGGATATCAAGGGAGTGGGACAAAGTTGACGCCGGTTGAGCGAGGGTTTCGCTTTTTTAAGAAGTCATTCCTGGAAAATCCATGGGATGCCCTCGAACGGGACCTGGCGAAGACCATCGAGAACAAAGAAGAGATAGATCTTCAACTAGATGACGACGAGGAAAGGGAGCAAGTTGAAGCAACAGACGGCCCAAAGCAGGTGGACACTGGTGAAAATGCGGTCGCGGAAAAAACAATTCCCTCTACAGACGCTTGACGAATTGCGCCGTCTTTGCATTTTTACTGAGTCGAACCGCAGACGACAGCAATACTTTACTACTTTTCCTTGGCGTCCTCATTTCAAATGCCGGTGCTCAGACCGGATCTCGGCAGCTACACAGATGCGCGAAGACGTGCAAAGAGACTTCTTGCGCAATGGATCACGGACCTAAGAAGCTCGTCCGGCGGTCTGTCGTAACCCTTTTTGCTTCACTCGGGATCGTTCACGATATATCCATCGGCTCTTGGCCTTCTTTCTCCCCGTATCGCGCATTCGCTGCGAGTACTTACTTGCATCTGCACAGTCACTTCGTCATCACTTTCATGCGGCGACTGGTGTCAAACACATTATGATGTGACAGTAGCATCACTGTCGTTTGAAGGGGAATCGACTTTGTTGCTTTCCAGGCGCGGTAGGGGCGCCATGTGACACGGCCGAATTTTGCGATGAGGAAAGTTCTTGCCGGTTTAAGTAATCTGCAGATGATCCAGCAGTTCGCGAAAATGTCTCGGCTTTTCCGTCTGGATTGCTTCTCTTCGTCGCAGTTCCATGCTTGAGAGCCTTTGCGCTTGGTCTCTATCTTTATAATGGAGTCCTTCAAGCGTGTGGTGTCGATCTCGCCTCGAAGACGACTGCGTTCCTTGCGATTTTTACAGTCCCAGGCGTAGACGTATTCGCTCTAGTGCTTGTGATTAGAGCGCGATGGCCAAGAGCTCAGGTGAACGGATTGTCGCATCCTGAAAGCAATGGGGCTGACTTTGTCGACAACAACGTTTCTGTCGAAACACTACAGGTGTCCTATGTGGAGCCGCATCGGTAAGCCGAGCTCAAGTGTTTAAACGACAAGCGATTTGCCTTATGAAGCCAGCTTTTTTTTGCAAACATATATAGATACATTAAGGTTGTCCGTCAAATTACGCGCTGTTTTTTTTTTTTTTTTCATTTGCCCATAAAATCGCAGGATGTACTATAAACCCGAGAACCCGAGATTGAAAAATTCCGCCACGGGTTTTGCGAACTGACCTCCAGCAGGGTGCCTGCCCGCAACAAACGCAAATATGGTACATCGTTGTGCCGCCCGACGGACCACGTGCACCTCCGCGAATACTTGTTTAAGCGAATTTTGTAGCTCGCTACAAGGCTAGAAAGGTTCTCAGTCAAAATGGCGATGTGTTTCGTCTTCTTGGCAGGCTGAGGGGGGCTGTTTGGAGAGGACCGCTATTTAGAAGCTTCTACTTGTCTATCTTTCGCGGTTGCTTCGGCGGCATCTGTGGCAGATCCTGCGCTTTGATCCGTTGATGGACTCTGCGCAGATGAAGCGATAGGGGCGTCCATGACGCATATCGATACGACCCGTGCAGTCTGAGACTCGTTTGAGCTGATGAAAGAGCGGAAACCCCACTTCGTTTTCCTTCAAGACGGGTCGATCCGGCACTGCTGTGATCAGGCGGGTGTGAAGTTCGTGGAAAACTCACATGCCCCCAGTTTTCCGTATGATCTGAGTTTTGCCAAACGCGATGTCTGAGAACTTTGCGTTTAGAAAATATGAGCAAACACGCCGCCGCGTCTCGTTTTCGTGACTTTACGGACAACCTTATTAGATCGAAACTTTATAAAGTTTCGATTTAATAAGGTTGTCCGTTATAAAGGTTAGTTTGGACACCATTTCTTTTACGTATATGCCCTCGGCAATAGCATCTTGCAAAACATTGGGATGGCAGTTGTGAATATACAGAAAGAATAAGAATTTAATGAAGTTGCAATCCCCGGCTGACATTTTAACACGTAATTTTTTTAAAAAGGGGCACATCTCAGGAGACATCTCTGGATCCAAAAAAATTGCGGGTTCGGTGCTCGTTGAATCTGTCAACGGTAGAAGCTCCTTTGAGATTCCACCAATGGACGGGCCGAGTTTTTTAGAGATTGAAGGTTGGGAAGGTGACCCTCTGGCGCTTGGTTAACCTCCTTGTAGGGGGTGTAACAACCAAATCTCACCCAAAATGGACTCGAAAAATATAATCAAAATTTAGTTCTCGCGACATTTTGCCAAGCAAGAGATGTTTCACTGAACCATCCTGTCTTTTCAGAGGCAGTTCTGGTTCATGAAAGTGGGCAATTGACACATGGCGATTTCATGTCCCCCATCCCCTCCCCCGACTTGCCAAGCCAACCTCAGCTGCCACAATTCTTCAAACCTTGACGCCTGCAGCCCCTACGTCCTGTTCACGGTCTCTTTCCTCGCCCTCCTCACTGCCAGCCCACACCGACAGACCTACCTGATATTGAACCTCAGCTGCCAAAATTCTTCAAACCCTGACACCTGCACCCCCTACGTCCTGTTCACGGTCTCGTTCCTCCCGCTCCTCACTACCAGTCCTCCCTGACACCTGCAGCCCCTACGTCCTGTTCACGGTCTCGTGCCTCCCGCTCGTCACTGCCAGCCCACACCGACAGACCTCCCTGACATTGAACCTCAGCTGCTACAATTCTTCGAACCTTGACACCTGCACCCCCTACGTCCTTTTCACGGTCTCGTGCCTCCCGCTTCTCGCTGCCAGCACACACCGACAGACCTCCCTGACATTGAACATTGCTGTCCAGATTTCTTTGATGGTAATGGGCACTTGTGGCCATCGCCAGCGGGCATGCCAACTATGCCGGAATTGCCCCCGCTGTCCTTCCGGTACCTGCCGAGGACCTCTAAGAGGTCGCGGCAGGCCGCCGAAGCAGCAAATTCAAAGTCGACGTCGTGCCTCCGCCGCCGCACGAACCGAAATTCGACAACAAGCACAAGCTTCATTTCGCCAAGCTCGAGAAAATATTTCTAAGTTGGACGTTAGAACAGTCGCATCTATTCTTACTACTCTGGGAATAAATCGCCGTGAGACCAAATTTTTGTTACCTGCAAGTCGCACGTTGACTTCAACGCTTACAGACATCACACTTCAAGAAAGAAGCAAACTCCACGTTGTGATGGTTAAATGTTTGGCGGCTCTTTCACGAGCCTTTCTTCCGAGTGACTCTGAGAACCTTTTCCGGTCTTTTATGGAGCAAAATGTGCAAAACTCTAAACTTCAGGGCGCCATTTCTGATGGGATCAAAGCTGCTAATAATGGCTCTATTGAGAAAAAGACGCTTCAGGCAGTTTTGTGTTCTTCTGTGAGCGGGGCGGAATTCCATCGCGTTCTACAAGCTGATGATTCTAAAATAAGAACGAAGGAATCTCGCGTGTCGGATCCAGAAGAGCCCCACGGTGTAGAAATTGAACCAGAAAAGCCTGAATTTGAGGGACATGGCTTTTCTGGGAAGAACCAAAGTGATGCTGTTCAGCCGCCAAGCGTCCTTAAGGCAGTGATGAAACCTAGCTACGATGTTACACATGTTAATGAGAAGGAGACGTACCAACACTTTACCTATAGGTAAAGTGTCAAGTGCCACATCACGCATGGCTGCCCATATATGGGTAGCCACGTGAATTCACGTGTCCTGGTGATATTGATAATCTGTTTAGGTGTCGTGTGCAGGGCTGGGTATTGGACGGAGAAGGCGAGAGAGGGACTGCTACAGGTCATAATTGTTCTCATTGTAATGCCTGCGTCCATAGCTTGTGCTGCCAAAAAGTACTCAAACTGAGCGTTGAAGATGCTGACGACCCTCTTTATTGCACCGAATGCTTTGAAGTCTTCACAACCTCGAACACACAAGGCAGTCAAAAAGAGGACCTTGAAAATCGTGAGGGCAAAGGAGCTTCTGATGCCGTAAATAGGAAATGAACCACTGCCCATTTAGAAAACCTCGACCAAACGGCAAAAAAGAAAGCCAGAAGTGGCGCAGTGGCAAGATTATTTTAGAGAGCCAGGAAAGATTGGGATCATTTACTGTGTGCTGGAGCACTACCCGTGGTCGTTCATACCAAAGCGAATCGCCACGGGGACGTTATAAGTCAGGCTTTGAGGTTTCTGTTTCGTCCAGAAAACGTGCAGTTGCTTTTCTGGGGTACGAAACGGTTGAGGTTGGACAACGAATGGGTGGAGTTTCCGGCTGTAATGAGGCGCAAAACGAACGAAAAGATTTATGCTGACTACACTTCCTGGTTTTATGATACCAGACAGAATAATACCGGGGAAAGGCCATTGAGTCGTTCCGTTTTTTTGCAAATGTCTGACAGTTTGACTCGCACGCAGCAGAAGAGAAAATCGGCTGTAGACTACGTCCTCGGCGCACTCGTTTACGACAGCCTTCGCACACTCCGAGAGATAATCTGTGCTGAAGGGAGTGAAGCAGAGAGGGAAAAGCTCAAAGCTCAGTCAGATGCCATCGAAGAGTTCCTGAAATTCACGTACCTAAACCACATTGACTTAGACTCTGATCCGTTTCATGACAGCTCTTTTGCTCTAGAGCCGCAGGAGAATAGCAGAGATTTAATTGGACCTCTTGAGAGCTCGCGACAGAGTGAATGTGCAGCCTGCATGGCTCCTTTTCAGGTGATCTCGAATGTCAAGCAGGCACTGCATGCGCCGAAAGCGGACATAATAGAGGCCCTCGACGAGGTAGAGAACAAAGTGATGCTGTACTTAGGTCACCAGCAGAGATGCAAAAACCAGGAACAGCGAATCGCTGAACTTTTTGAGGGTCTTTCTCGGGACCGGTCGAAGTGCAAAGCTGTAATACTCGTCGATTACAAAATGAAGTTCGAACCTATACGTTACAGGGAGAAGACGACGGAATTCTTTGGAAAAAAGGGCATATCTTGGCACGGGGCAGTTATATTTTACTGTGACTCGGTCGAGCAACAAGCCTCTACAGACTCATACGAAGTACATACTATGCTTCTAGATCACGTCATCAGTAACGACATGAAGCAAGACAGAGTGGCAATATGCAATCTCTTGGGCGCCATTCTATCCCGGTTAGTCATTGAAATTCCCACGATCAAGTCCTTCACGCTCCTATCGGACAATGCTAGGTGTTATCAGAACGACTTAGTACCTGTGATGGGTCCTTTTATCTCGAGAAAACATGGCATAGTTATGAGTGGTTTTGTGCATTCCGAGACACAAAGAGGGAAAAGCCTTGTGGATGCACACTTTGCATTATCAATGATGCACATAAACAGGTTCTGTAATGCAACGATATAGTTCGTGCCTTAAACAGCTTCGGTGGAGTTGCAAACTGCACTGCAGAGTTAGTATGCATTCATCGAAAATATTCGAATATGAAAGAATGGATTGATGCACAAAGTAATGGGAAGCTGGCGAAATTAGGACGTGTGAACGAGGTTATCTATTCCAACTTTAGTGGAAACGAAGTGAATGCGGGATGCCATAAACTTTCCAATCGTCAGTCAATTCCATACGTGTTCGGTCAAAAATACTCGAGGAAGCAGACAGTAGTTGGCCCTGGGGAAGCTAACTGTACGGAAGAGGAAGGACAAGAGGATATTGATACAGAGGATGACAATCTTGCCCCCGATACTGAAGAAGTAGCTTTGCCGGAGTCCGTGTCATACAAAAGTAACATGACAGGAGTTACTGTATACACTATGGCACATATCAGATTACTTTTTCGCAAGAGGAGAAGAAGAGGAAACATAAATTACATAGAAGAAGCTGAGAATGAGCTCCGCAATGAGCCGCAAAGCGACACCAGTGATGCAGAGGAGGCACAATTAGATGAAATTATGCTACAGTGCACGAAGTGTGGCAAATTCTATCGACGGACCAAAGCACTCGATGCACATTACTTGATATGTACTGGAGCTGTGGGGTCCCAATCTGTTCTTTTTCGAGCGATAAGGATGGCACTCAGTATTCTCAACACGTCTGACATTGGGACATATGTCTCCAAAGACATACACCCTGCCTTCGTTGGTCTGCAGATTGAGGAAAGCACTAGAACCGCCTGTCGCATATTA